CATTTGCTGTTTCCATTCGTTTTGTCTTTATTTTCCTCTAAGGTTTGTAGAGTAGAGAAAATGATGGCTGCAAAGGCATGCACCAATATTTAAAAGACACATGAAAGTATAGAGCAGTGGTTCTCAACTGGTGGGACTCATGAATCGCAGTTCTGGTTTCAGTGAATCACTAATGTGTGCATGATAAAGTTCTGTTATATGTTTTGTACTGTCTGAGATCCAAACTGCACATTAAATAAATCTGATTGGTTGAAAAATATCAGTAATTTTGGTTTGATTTTGGTCCTGAGGAGATGAGCTGGTAAGAGGTCTACCAAAATATTGGATATGAATATAACAAGTAATCAATTTTATAACTTTGCCCCGGGTGCAGAGAGGCCAGGTAAGCTTATTATATTATCTAAACTGTTGATGTGAGCAAAATCAACTCCCATGCACTTAGTTATTGTTAAGCTGTGATGCGCAGTCTTCTAGTTGCGTATGGAGAATAAGCAGACTTGACTCTGTGTCTTCTCTTTAGCCTTTAGGCTTGTTTATTCGATGAACACATGCATGCCACTCATCCAGACTGAAATAGAACAACATTCATGTCATCCGACGACTGACACGCTGCGTACTGTAAACGTGATGACGTCATAGCAGAATTTACTGTAAATACAGTGTGTAAAGGGCGCCATCAAATAACAACATTTAACACTCCCACTCGCTCTTAGCTCACTGAGTTACCTGAAAACAAAACAATAACAGAGTTTTCCCCTTTTTGCTTCAGCAATGTAAACAAACACACTTTCAATTACCAAACATGTATTGAGCAAACCTCTTTAACTTTAGCTTATTGGTTGGCTTTGTCATGACACACCTTGATCCACTATCCACATTAAACATCAACAAAAGAATTACTGAACCATACAGTTCAACATTTGTAACTGACAACTCATTTATTCATGAGTCAGACGTAAAAACAATTCTAACTTTGTACTTAACACCCAGGGTTTATAAACTCAGTCCATTACCAAATGTTGGCACACTATTGGAGATCATTTCAATCCTATTTTTATTGTTCGTCAGTACTCAAGGCTTCTTTGAAAGAGGGTTTGTAACCGGTTCAAGTGTTCCTGCAGCCATCCTCTGCAGAAACGAGTCCTGTGCTTCACAGCACCGTCATGGCAGGGCAGCAGATCCAAGCGTTCTGTTCAACTTCTGCACATCCTCACTCAGATATTCACATGAGGTATTTTTATACACAGTCCATACTCACTCAGAAACTCCTGCAGAAGTCTAGTTTCTTCCGTACACACAATCCTCTCCCTATGCTAGCGTCTGCATTCTCTAATTAGCATCAGCTCGTAACAGGGTCAAAGCGTAAACTTTACGAACGTAACTTTACCGATCAAAACGGATTCCAAATAGCTGAGTCTTCAGTACAGAACAAAAAATAAATTATTTAGTCAGAGGTACTTCAATAATCATCACAAACTTCACATATTTAACTCTCTCTGTTTCTTCCTTGTGCCAATCTCCCGTATCTCTTCTCCTGTTATTCTGCCACCCCACCCCCTTATACCCGATAGGTTAGGAAAAAGGCAGGCGACAACCTCAGGTCTTGAAAAATGAAGCCAATGTGGAAAGTGCGAAATCCTGCAGTTTGTTGAGTGTCCACTTGAGGCTGGCTCCAGGAACACCTAAAGTCACATACACATGACTGTCAAAAAAGCTGTTTTTAATCGCATAAATAAACATGTTTACAGCCTGGTTAAAAAAACAAAATAGGTCTGATTATGTTATTGTCATCACTGGAACACACTGTACGGCGGGTGAATTTATTTTTAACAGCTCTGTTTTGATTTCAAAAACGATACGGCTGAGATGATTGACAGGTGGGCGCGATGTAGCTTCAAACCCGCCTCAGCTCCAGCTCTCAACCTGTCTTTAGGTTGACTGAAAGTTAGACTGAGACAGGATTTCCAGCATGGCGGCTGCTGCTGATGAGCCTCTTTCCATTAGTATTTACAGTCTATGGGAAAAGGTAAGTGACCACTCTAACCTAATGAATGACATCTGTCTAACCCAGTAAATAACTGTAAGATATCTCGGAATTGACAGCTTTTATAATTACTTCACAAGTATTATTCCTAACTGATATAAATGTCACAATAATATAAAGAATACACTTTGGAACTTGTTTTGCACAAAAGTATGCATTTTAAACACGTAAATGCAAATAAGGAAAATAGAAGCAAAATGTCGATTGGCAAATGACTAGCTACATTAAATCATTTGTTTTTTGGTTCTGCACATGGGTCCTTAATACCCTTTTTTTTTTTTTTTTCCCTAACATGACAGACAGAGCCAGGCCATATGTTTACACATGAGTTTGTCTTTATACTACACTAAGCTTAATATCCACCAGTTTCATGCAAACTACTCACAGACCCAAGAATGAGATCCATCTTTTCATGGAACTCTCACACTGCATAAATGTTTCTTTTTCTGTGTATTATTGCAACCTTTAACAATGTGTCATAAGGCCTTTGTAAGAGACTACCACTACAGCAATTTGACATTTAAGAAAACAAGTGAGGTAGACTGTTTGTTAGCGCTCTCATTTCCTCTCATGCTCCTGAAACCTCTCCCTATAGAGGAACAATGCCTCCAGGTATTGTTCCTCCCAGATTACAGGAAAAATATAGTGCGGGGAGGTGGAAGGCCGGTGCAGGTGGGGTCATCAGGTCAACGTTTTTTATGAAGAAAAAAAAGGAAGGAATCCCAGAGGACGTGGTGTAGAGGGGAGACAGTTTTATTATGACATGTTTGACTTAAACATTGTACAATATCTAACTGTGTACAGAATTCAAGACGCTTACAGGGTTATCCAAATGTGAATTGGCTCTGTCAGAGAGTGACAGGATACAGGAAGACAGATGTCACAGACTGAGGAAACCAGACATGATTAATCGAACACGCAGACAATCGGTTTCCAAAACAGATCCACAGAACTGAAATGTAATTTACATACCATTCAGGGGGTGAAGCTCTGAAACAGAGAAAACAAGTGTGAAGCTAAGTTTTATCAGAGATGCAAAGTCTTCACAGGAGGTGATCCACAACCTTCAAAGTATGTGCTGCTGAGTGTAGATAACAGAGCTTATCAGTGGGTGAAACATGTTCGATTAGTTCTGTATGTTGTGCAAGAGTCACATTGTGTAATGCAAATTTCATATTTAAGTTTATAGGTGCAGTGTTGACATATTCACCAGAGGTTAGCCATTTAAAAAATAGAAAAGTGATGTGCTCAGTCAGTTTCAGGGCAGTATTAGGAATTTAACATATACCGGACACAAGTGGAAGTTGCAGCCTGACAGTGGAGCTCAGTATCAGTAGAGTAGAGTCTAGAAGTCCTCAAAATGTTTACACTTATTCTGAGAATATGAATATGCTTGTCCATGAAACAAAGGGTTTAACTCAAACACAGGATTAGAGCATCACATAATTTGGATGAAGCAGATGATATGAATTATATCTGCTGCAAAATGTACAATACTCTCCTCTTAATAAACATGTTCCATGAACTAAATGGATACATGGATTTATCTCAGTGCGGAGGGCTACAGATTAGAATGAATGCTGAGTATTGATGTTGATTACGAGGCAGTTTGTTCTACGTCATAGGGTCATGAAAGAAGGCTCACAGTGAAGTGCAGAACATGGATGATGCACAGTGCCTGTGGTGTCAGCATTCATTCATGGTCCTAGCTCTGGAAACTTTCATCTCTCTTCCCCTGAGGTGGTGACAGACCTGGTGACAGACCTGGTGACAGACCTGAACACACAAACATAGAAACACTTGCGATCTAAACACATCTTCTTTTCTCATGGCCTGTTTATGACCCACGCAATTATAATGGTTTTATGATTCACAAACCCACTCTGACTTCTTAGAGAACTGTTTTATGCATCTTCATGTGATATGATGTGGAGAACTCCTCCAAAATCAGTGAAATACTGCCTGAACAATGTGTTCCTATTGACCAGGTGTGTTACCTGAAAGAGCACTGATTATTTCTCTCTAAGACGCATTAAATCCAGCATGACTCCATTCTGTAATCAGTCAATACTGAATCAAAAGATACCACCTATAGAAAACACCTATCAGAGTCTTGTAGTGTCAGGAACTGTACCTGCCGTCCACACTCTTCAATGTTCCTGTTTTTAAAACCCTTGCTAAAATTTGACTGTGATGTGCAAGCTCTCACGGGCACTCTGACTTTTCTGGATTATTATTAAAGTTTGTTGTGTCCAGTAGGGTACATTTTTAAGGTCTCAGGTCCAGATTGATATAAGAAATATTGGAGGGTTTGTTTTTTTAGGTTTAATCTTAAGATATTCATAAACGCAGCAGTGCATAAACCCAATTTATTTTATTCCTTTTGCAAGGATTCAACTCATTTTTTTGTTTATGCTTTCATTTACATTTTTATGTTTTCATGGCAGGTAAAGCAAATTACCCAAACACGCTGAGGTTTCCTCAGGACAAAGGAAGACGTCATGCGTCAAACTGCATTATAAAACACAGACTATACAGTTTGGTTCCAAGTGTGGTTTAACTTGCCAGTTGGATTACATGCACAACCAAAATTCTCTTCTTTTTACAACGACTCAAAGAAAGTCTTCACCTGTTTTTAATCAGATCCAGACTTACAGGCTGTTACAGCTGCAACATCCCATATTTTACTTATTTTAAATTAACACACAGTTCTTGCATTAAGAAAACTTTTGAGATATTTTATGCATTGTTTTGAAAGATGAAGAAAAAGGTCTTCTTTAGTGTCTGCAGCTCTTCACACATGCAGCCCTGCAGCAGGGACAATGTGTTCAAACTCTCCGGAGCTCTCAGCACCCTCTGCAGGCTGGCTGCCTGATTGGCTGAGCACTGACCATGATGTCATCACTGCACGTTATAAGGGCTCTGACAAATAGCTTGGGAGAGCATTAGAGGGAAGACGGCTCAACTGAAGGACTAAGTGAGTGAGACACACGGAGATCAAGAGGAGTAGACAGTACACAGAAAGGACATGTGACAGTGAATACTTTTCAGGAACTCGGTGAAAACTACTTTGTATGGGTGGCAGGAAACAAAAAAACAACCTGTGGAGGTCTGTACTTTTATTTTTATTTGGAGTGTTTATGTTATTGTTTAGTGTTGTTTGTGCCTTTTATTTAACTTGTTTATTTTTCAAAATAATATTAGCAACAGACTCATTAGTGCTATTTTGACATCAGTGTCATATGCATACATTATATCTCTATTTATTTATTTTCTTATCCGGCAAATGTTAGATTTAAACTGTGACTTTTTGTGTGTGTGTTTGTGTGTATGTGTGTTACCCATGGTCGTCAGATTGGTAGTACAACCCCCCCCCCCCAGGAAGCCTCAATGTGAGCGCAGGGATGAACAACTCCTCCTCAGACAGCAGGGAGGGTTACAGCGAGGCAACAATGGTCCTGCTGGGCATGGTCATGTCCTTGCTCGTCTTGTGCATCGTCTTCGGAAACATCCTGGTCATAACGGCGATCGCCCGCTTCCAGCGTCTCCAGAATGTCACCAACTGCTTCATCACGTCCTTGGCCTGCGCCGACCTGGTCATGGGTCTCATCGTGATCCCGTTCGGCGCCTGTTACATCATCTTTAAGACCTGGCACTTTGGAAGTTTCTGGTGCGAGTTCTGGACGGCGACCGATGTGCTCTGTGTGACCGCGAGCATCGAGACCCTGTGCGTCATAGCCATAGATCGATATCTGGCCATCACGTCTCCCTTCAGATACCAGTCCATGCTGACCAAGTGCAGGGCTCGCATCGTGGTCGTCCTGCTGTGGGTGATCGCCGCCTTGATATCGTTCCTGCCCATACACATGAAGTGGTGGATATCGGATGATAAAGAAGCCAAGGACTGCATGAACAACAGTACCTGCTGTGAGTTCAACACCAACATGGCATACGCGATCACCTCCTCCATCGTCTCCTTCTACATCCCGCTGGTCATCATGGTGTTTGTCTACAGCCGGGTTTTCCAGGAGGCTAAACGGCAGCTTAAGAAGATTGACCAAAGTGTTGGACGCTTTCACAACAGCGGTGACAACAGCAACCTCAAATCTATCGAGGCTAACAACGGACGCGGCCAGAAGAAGGCCAAGTTTTGCTTGCGGGAACACAAAGCTCTAAAGACCTTAGGCATCATCATGGGGATCTTTACTCTGTGCTGGCTGCCTTTCTTCCTCTTCAACGTGATGGTGGCCATATGGAAGGAGCTGCACCACGACCTCACCTTCAGGATACTCAACTGGATAGGTTACGCCAACTCGGCCTTCAACCCACTCATTTACTGCCGGAGTCCTGAGTTCAGATACGCCTTCAAAGAAATCCTCTGCATGAAGAGGAGCCACCTCAGTCACTCGGGGCCTGTGAACGGCTACGTATACAGCAGGCACAGCTGGCAAAGCGAGCAGCAGGGGAGGAGTAAGGGCAGCTCGGAGGACATTGACGCCAATGAAGGGTGTCTGGGGAAGGGGGCGGGGGTCTGCAGTGCTGTGGACAGATCAGTGGACCCCAATGGGAACTGCAGCAAAGGCTTATCCACAATAACAACTGCCCTTTAGAAACTTGGCACGCTGAGAGTTGGGCAACCCAGACATGTTTACACTGCTATCAAAAACTCTTTTTTTCCAATTGAGTAATGTGGGTAGAGCCAGTCTGACTGACTGGTGGAATCTCTACAAACTGCTTTGAAGACGCTCAGCTGAGGGAAGTATTTCTCTTTATCTTTGACACAAGGACTAAACACTGTAGGTAGATCACTTTTTTTTTGTGACATTTCTTTTTGTGAGTAATTTCCATCTACCTCATTACTTCCTGTTGTTTCACATTTGTTTCTTAACTGTCTAAACAAGTTGGCGTTTACTCTCTGGCCCCAGGGAAGTATTGAAGCTGTTTATTAACTCTACTAACTGTCTGTGCATTATGTCACCGTTGATCTTTCTGAATTCCCTGGCACAATTTTGTTTTTAGCTCAGAGTCTTTGGCAAAATATCACACAGCTGGCTTAAAAACATCTTTTGAAACTCAAATAAAACGCTGTTGGAGGCTTTACAGTAAATTATATTCAGGCATGCCAAGCAAGCATGGATACTGAGTTCTTTCAGAAAATGAGGAGATTGGATCTGAGTGTCTTTTTGGTGCTTTGTTAAAAAGTAATACATTCCAAATTAACCAAAGTTATAATTTGGCTTTTTTTTTGTTTCCCCTTTTTTCTGATGGATTGCCTCGGTGTCAAAGATGATTTACAACAGGTTTAACCGAACCTGTCTCGCTTCTTTTTTCTCTCTCTGTCAGCCTGTCGCCTTACTGCTCAGAAATGCTGTGAGGCCCTGTCCCCCTGTGCTTTTACAGCCAGTTTCAGGGAGTTTCTAAATACTAGAGATATAAAATTATCTTTATCTCCCTGCTGCATGCTGAGTAACGCCTGAGGCCATCCAATTTAGGTTGTATGAAAAGCTGGCAAGTTTGTACATGTTGTAATAGCCAGTTTCTATTATCAGCCCTGAATATATTTAATATATTTAAGTGCAGAGCAGATGGAGTTATTGATAATTGGCTTAAACTTTGGTATTGACCTTCAAAGCTTACAGCTGATTACATTCAAATATACATTTTTGCTACTGTACAGTCAATCTTCATTCCACAGGGTGATTTGTGTGACATGTAAAACAGTTGTTGGTACTTTTTAAAAATATTTTGTAAGTGTAAGGTTTTTCTATCTTGCCCTCAACGTTTCTGTCAGAGGCAACAAGTTGTTATACAAGCCTTGTTTATTTACCCGGTTTTTGTGGTTGCTGTGTGTCAGTGTTTACTGAAACCAGAGACGCCGTTTCCTTAGCCATGGCACAAGCGGTACAAACCACCCACAGTAATAAACAGGGCGTTTTAATAACCGAGTGATAACATAGTTCCAGACTCGGGAACTTGTTGGTGGCGACTTCTCAGGCCTATAAACTGAGATGAGAAAAACCATCCTCAGCTGCACCTTTGTTGGCGCTCCTTGACATTTCCCAGAGTCTCCTCACTGTAAACATAGATGTGTATCTTTATGAAATCTCTCCAAGTCTCCTCACTGTAAACCAATATCTGTATCTGTATGAAATCAGTCTAACATTAGGATTAGTTATGAGTCCACTGAGCAGGCTCTCAGCTGTGACAGTTTTTTTTTTTTCTCACTCATCTTCTGCTGCCTGCTTCAGATGCTGCTTTGTGTGTAGCCTCAGCAAATGCAACACATCCAGCTGAACAAGACCCAATAAACACAAATCAATCCACCGTTAAGCTGTAGAATTCGATAAACCCCTGATCAAAGACAGCAGACAATTAGAAAGTATACATTTCTAAATTCTAAGTTTTAAATCTAAAGGGGCCAACCTGAAATTAACGTAAGGTTCATCTTTTGACTAATGGACAGTTTGCTCTCAGCATGCAGGGCTTGAATGGGGAAAAGTCACCCACATGTATCACACTAAACGGCTTGCTGGATCATTATGCTCAATAGCAGCATTAAAGATGCTCTGCAGACGTAACCACATCTCAACAGATTTGGCGTTCCCTCGTGTTTCTGATCAAAGTGACAGCATGCTAAATGTGGCTCCTGAAGGCAGACGGGGAGGGGGTGACATGGATTCTGTGCCCGTCTAAATCGGTATTAGTGACCTGTGTTTTAGTGCATGTAACTTCGCCTCTGGAGTTCAGTCAGCAGACTCTGTCAAAACTGTGAACTTTGTTCCCTCAGAGGAACCTCAATGTGCTGTACTGTATGTGTGGGTTTGTTCTGTGCTGTTGTCAAAGGCCTTAGGAGTAGACGTAACCACAGTGTCATCCTACGTCAATGTTTGCCATGTGAAAAACAAGCTCTTCACGATGGTGATCTTTCTTTCTGTTTTTTCTTGTTCATGGATTTACAGCAGTGTAAATCCAGGGGTTGAATGTCATTACAAATGTTCTCCAGGGAATTTATTTTTCAGCACTTTTAATCAAAACAAGCAAAAAGCACAAAACAGATAAAGATTCAAGATTTCAATATATGACCATTTTTTAACTGAATCCAAGCAGTGACTTTGAATTAATGAGACAATGCTTGATGGATAAAAAGGGGCCAGAATTCAACTCATCTGTCTAGGGTTAGGGTTAGTAATTGTTTGCATGTCTTCTAGCTGTTTGTGGTTGATGTGCTTGTGGCATGTGGTGCCATTTCCTTTTCATAGTGAGCTCTTTACGTCCAAGTGGAGCAGGTTGTGAGCTATACATCCACACTGCTCCCTCCTGGCAGTGGCCTCTCCCTGCACCGTAGCTGCCTCTGAGTCATGACCTCTTTCATGATACACCTTGAAAGAATGAGATTTATGTCTTCACGCTATAGGGACAGTTGAAATGTTTAGCTGACACGACTACATTCCAGGCTCAGCTGAGGGTTTGGGACCATACATCACATCTGCTGATGCATTAAATGAACATTCAGTTCCCTGGACAGACGTTCGACTAAGGTTACCAATCAAAGTAAAGCACTTTCATTCGATTTCATTGACTATAAATAATTTATACCTTGATGAAGAGTTTTTCCTCTTCAGATGTGCCATAATATTGTTACAGAAGTTCCATTTCCTGTTTGCAACTAAAAAAACGAGAAACATGAATGTGAGCACAGATGTTGTTGAAGGTTCTGAACAACTGATGCATGTGTATGTGCTAAATACTGATTCATGGTTCATACATCTATGTGAGGCTGTATTTTATTGCCAGAGTGAAAACCTGAATGTTTACTAAATGTCTGCCAGCTATTTTTCGCACAACTTTTTGTCACTGTTAAAGTAATGCCTGTTACAAAATGTGGTGTCTTGTGGTATTTATGACATGAAGCAAGTGAATGTGCTGTAAGATTTGTACTGAAATAAATGATGTACATGCTGCATGTCATGTCCTCAGTGATGTTTTTTTTTAAGAGCATTCAACAGCACTTCACTGAATACTAGTAAATATATGAAACGAAAGAAGAAGGTTGGATCTGAATGCACCGGTTTATTTCAGTATGTGGGGGGAAAAAGTCACCAGCATGTGATCCACATGAGTTATAACCAGGGGAGGGATTTGGATATTATTTCAATATTTTCCCAGAGCTCCATGTAATCATATTTTACAAAGAGCACTTAATTAAATCACAGGATCTAATAGAGGTGGACATTTATAATACACAGAGCCATAAAAGTATCCTATATATGGTACTTATCTGGAGTCTAAAGGATTTTTGATTCATCTGCTGAATGAAGATTAAGAGCTTTAAAGTGTAATGCGCGTTGAACACCATGACCAGGAACACACATTTAAAAGGTTTGGTAAGTCAGCACATCTGGGATTTCGTGATAAACAGAGACGTCGGACACTCACAGTATTTTTGAAATTAGATAATGTGCTTATAAATCAGGCACAGTCCTGTTTTCTCTTTTCCTTGTGTGACAGGGTCGGGGGAAAAATCAGGTCATTTAAGAACACATGATACATATGACAAGCCAAAGGCTACTTTGTCCTTAGTTTGACTGGATGGATCATATACAGGTTTTTGAAAGAGATATATGTTGGCCCCCCAGCATCCTTTTCTTTCACCCTTCATTCTGCCTGTGATGTCTACACACTTATTAAAACATATTACATCCACTTAGGAGTGTTTATTGAATGTGTGTGAGTGGTAAATTAAACAGCTAACATTAGCAGCTCTTTGATGCTGGTTGAAGGATTCAGTGTTGCATTTAACAAAGATACGGGTGCAGTTAAAGCTCATGAACAACCTTTCTATTTCAATGTCCATTCTTTCTAATCATACCTGCACACTAACTAATTTTTCACTGTAACACAAACCATTGTAATGGATCACAAGCTTTTTATCTTGGGACCTGTTAGCTTTAGTTCTTCAGTCTGTTAGGCCGATATGAAGAATGTAGCCATCCATATTGAAGACCCTTTCACTTGAGGGGCTCAGCCAACAGTCTATTGCAGAAAGCCTGTGCATATGAACTCTTAACTGGAATCAGCCCTTGAAGCACTTCTGATTATCTAAACAGTTTAAGCTCATACTTTTAAATCCTTATCCTTGCCTTTATCCTGCAGGTGAATTCCACAGCCAGACATCAACATCAAGGCGTCTGAAGTGTAAAGCCATGGATGTTTGCACACAAGAACCGCCGGGTCCTCCTCTAATCTTTTAAAACTCAAGTTTCTCCCTGCAGCATCAGATTGTAGTTTCAGTTTAAGTCATGTCAAATGCTTCATGTCTCTCAGGGTTTGAGAAGTGCACGGAGGGCAATCCACAGGGATGTGTACTGACATAATCTGCCACATGCTCACTGGAGCTCGATGACACATTCTCTCAGACTGTTAGAGAAACTGCTGGAAGTTTGCACCCTGTTTATTTGGCCTACAGTCTGCTCAGCCTTCATAATTATAACAATAACATTTACACAGCACTTATCTAAACAGTGTGCTTCACAGAATCCATAGAGTAAAACAAAATTACATCATAGGCTGATTAAAAAAGAAATATTAGAGAAAAACCTGGGGAAATTACAAAATGATGAATAAGAGAACTAATTAAATAAAACACAGCAGCACATGAATTACCAATCAATCATTTCAAAAGGCCTCCCTATAAAAAACATGTTTTAATCAGAGATTTAAGAACAGGTTATGAGTTTGCCAGCCTAATTTCCTAGGGCAGGGAGTTTCAGAGCTTTGGGGCTCTGATGGTAAATGCCCGGTCGCCCTTGGTCAGCAGCCTTGACATATAAGAACAAGTAATGATGGTACTTTTGAGGAGCCCATGCATGGTCATCAAGCTTTAATAACTGGGATCCTGAAGAGAAAAAAAGGCTGCATTTCCCATATCTAGACTAAGCATGTTTTTCTGAGTCACTTTTTTAATGCACCAGGGAGAGGAAAGGATCTTTTTTTTGGTGTGCCACGAGTATTTTCTCAGATATGTAAATCATGACAGTGATGTTCTGAATACAGAGTCTGAGTCCGTCCCTGATAGATCGATAAGTCCCCTGGTAGTCTAGTGACTACAGAGACTAAGGCACCATAATGTCTGCAGTCCCCTCCATCCCAAGGGCCTCACAAGCATGTGTGTGTGTGTGTGTGTGTGTGTGTGTGTGTGTGTGTGTGTGTGTGTGTGTGTGTGTGTGTGTGTGTGTGTGTGTGTGTGTGAGTGTGTGTGTATATGAGTATGCTTTGAAACGTCTCAAATCATAGTTTGTGAACTTTTTGAAAAACTAACTCTGCTCGACCTGGGGTTGTAAAAGCAAATATGAACTCAAGAGATGCACTGATTCTGTTTTTAAGGCCAAAGAATATGAAATAAACCCAATTTAAATGTGTAAATATGTACTTCCTAAACATGCCATATTCTTCTCACATGTTAGCTTATCTGAACCATAAACTGAGCATAGCCTTCTTCTTTCTGTTCTCATGTTTGACTGTAAATCTATTTTGTTGTCTTTACAGCAGCTAACAGTGTAAGAGAACATTTCCGTTGATCTATATACTGTTCTATAATTATCAAACATTAAAGTTGAAGACTGTGGATTCTGCAGTTTCAGCTCTTTTTCTACTACATTGGCAGGGAAAGAAGTCCATGTTCAAATCGCATGAAGTGCAAATCCACATACCAAGAAGACGTAAATGACACAAGTGGTGTTACAGTAATATAAAGGTGAAGGGATAACAGCATAATGAATGACCACTCAAAAGCCCCCTCACTCACACAGCAGCCCACATGTGTTCCATGTTTGACTCCTAGGCTAATCCTTCTTCAGGGGCATTCACATCAGGAAGTGGTACACAACAAAATGTAAGTTTTCACACTGCTGTAGGGCTAACTGGTGAACTGTTTTAAGCTAATGTTCAACATGCTGCTAAGGAAGTCAGTTACAACAGCTCTAATAGGTCTGTTTACAAAGCCCAAAGGAGTGCTGCAGGAATTATATACTCCTGTAGGCCAAAGTTGAAATAGACCTGGTATCCTCCAAAAAGGCTCAGTTACAAAGTTTTCATTGAATTTTCTGTTGTTATGCGGCACAAAATGATATTTGTGATATTATGATAATCTCCACATGTGAAAAACACTCTTACAATAAAAAAAAATAAAAAAATTTAATACTCTTACCCCCCAACCCAAGTGACCAGACAGTATATTCGACTAAACAGAAAGAATTACAGAATAATATAGAAAACAAATTAATAATAATTTAAAAAATTGATATGTATAAAAGAAACTAAAAAAACCTTTATACATATATATATATATATATATATATATATATATGTATTTACATTGTCTTACACTCTTGCACATATACATGTATATACATGAAAGGAAATAATAAGATTAATAATAAAAAGAGATATCAGACTTAAATTAAAAAACAACAATAACATAAAATATCATATGAATTCAGAAAAAATGAATAAAAATAGCTTCCAGCCCACCGTATGTAGACAAAAGAGTAGGATAACCAGTCATCAGCAGCCTCACCACGTTATGCACACTCTTACAATTTTTGATGCTCAAATAAAATTCATGAAGTAAAAAAACTAACCTACAAAAATATAATCGGTTAATCAAGTTCGACTGAATTAAAAGTCTTCCCCACTAAGTTTTCATCTTATCAATGTTCAACATGTTGAAGTTTAATGTCCCATACAACCCCTGCCTTTATTAAGACCGGTCAAAGATTCAGAACCCATCAGTGGATCTTTTCACATTTTCTACACCAAGGACCAAACAGAAAAATAATCACTGAATTATTTAAACCTTTTTCAGGCCTCTGAACCCATTCAAACATACCATTAACTTTAATGAATACATTGATTGGAACTGGGATTGCAAAAAATGATTATCCATTTCCAGGTTTAAGAAGATTCCTGCAGCAGCACACTACCTCTACTGGGGATGTAAGTCCTTGAAGTCAAATAAAAAGCCCAAAACAAATCTTTCTGAGCTAGAGAACCTGCTGCCATCACACCTCCTGACATGAATAAACGTTAAATCCTCCAACATCACTCCCTTTGATACCCCAACTCTCTGTTCCCAAAGGTCAGCACTTTCAAGACAGCTTGCTAATGGGCAATTACTGGGAATCCAAGTGTGGGAGTGATTACAATGACTAGATTTTGTCATTTTAAATGCCACTGCTGGTGTGATCCCCATGTTCTTGTGCCTGCTTCTTCTGTCTCAAAACAGAAACGACTGTGATGGGTAAGTGGCCCTTGACTTTTTTCAATCACCCTCAGACCAATGGATGATAAAGCACAAGCTGTACTGTGTGCTGCTTGTGTACATCATGGACACAGCAGCTACAAACATCTGTTTGAGGTTTTCTATGGTGACAGATTCATCTGGCTTTTTGTTTACAGGAGGTCAAGTTAGCTTTTTTTAGTGAACGCAAAAGTGGTCGCACAGTCAACAGCTAGTGCTGTAATATTTAATTTCAATCGTCAGCCTCTGATTAAAGTTGTATTAATCTTCATCTGGAAGCTGATGGTTTGAATAATTGGGAACAGTGACACAGGCCAACGAGGGAGCAGTGTAATAAAACCATTTCTAATGTTCCTGCTGTCGTTTTCAAAGCTAATGGCACAATTATCTGATGAAATAACATTCATTATTGTCTGCCAAGTAATTGATTTATACTCTGAGCCAGCTGAAGCACATTGTATTCTTTATAGTGAGCTTTTGTTAATGTACTTAGAAAGTACCTTCATGCCTTATGTAATGCTGCAGTAATGTTCAGTTTGGTTTAAGTCCTCAGGGAAGATGAAAACATAAAGGGTTGATCTGTAATGTGTTCTTAGCTGCGGAAACATGTAATGACCAACACCCTCACTGCAGTATAACAGCCTTTAACAGTAAAGAATGTAAAA